GCTTTAATTCTTCAATAAAATATATTTTATATGACACAAAAATGACGATATGGCTATTCAAATACCCAAATTCCGTCTATGTCAAAAGTTATTCTACCTCCATTAGATCATCAAAAAAATGTTTTTTTTTAATTGTATTGACTGTTGACACATTTGTTTTTCCTATTTTCGGATTTTTTAAAAAATCTGTAATAATTTCGTTCTGAGGCGCTCGAATATTTGTTCAATGCTTTTACCGTATCGTAATTTTGAAATTTTTATAATTTTATCTATTTTTTCATCTATTTTACAGTTCACAAAACTCTTATTGATTATTATTTACACATTTGGAGTGAAATAGTTTTTCCATGGCCAACTATTATCACACAAAATATGTATTTCACTTTTTAAGTATAGTTATAAAAAATATTTTGTTACAAATATATATTTTTTCAGAGCAGAAAAAAATAAGCTTTTCAAAATTGCCATAGCCGCCTATGACTTCCATTTAAAAAAATACAAGTTTATCTTATTACGGCTAAACAAACAACTGAAAAAAATTGTTAACTACATTATTAAATTCTACGTAAAAAAGTGCCTCTATAATGTCTTTATTTCAAATTCGTATCTTCTATAATAACGAAGATATAATTTTTTTTAGATTTCGCCAAAATGTCAACTATTCGGACTTCCAAAATGCAGCACCCTGTATACTAGTTACCTAAATAGTGTATTGGGCTGAACCTGACAATAGAGAATGTACCGTGTTCAATATCACAGTTGCGCCTGCGAGCTTGTTCTCGAGCTAGTTTGGCTCTTCTTCGCAAACAACATATTACTAACAATGCAAGAAGGGGAAATCCCAAGATACAGGAAATTATTGGCACCACTACAGTTTCCGGTGACACTGAAACACAACCATTATTACGAATCGCAAAAGCACTTTAATTAACTACCAGTTGGATAAATCAAGATTACGGGCCGTTTATTTTGCGGTCCCACGTGACCCGGGGATCGACTTTCCGTTTGACTCGACATTGACCTAAAACAAGAAATTTAAACTTGAAATCACATCAATTCTAATTGGTTGGAATTTAGATCACGTGATTTAGAACATAGACATGATTGGTGGAAAAGTTTCGCTCAGTTTTTTAGCACAATGATTAAATATTCTTTTAAGAAATTGCACAATATTTCATTTCGCTTCTGCGAAAACAAGTGCTGGAAATTAATAATGCAGGTGGTTTTTCTCTATATGGCTGAACAAATGCTGAAAATTTTTCAGTTTTCATTGACTTGTATCATGGTCCTGAATTAATAATTTGGGTGTATTTAGGTAATTTGAAGCTGAAATTCAGGACTGCTCCCTCGAGGCTTTTGTGAAAGCAAAATGTGCCTACTTAAGCCCTAAATAAAATATCAGAAATTTCGAATTAAAATCGTTTTTACAGTGAGAATTGCCAAAGTTATTTCCAACAAGAGAGAAAACCAGAGAATTATATATTATAATGTGGGAAAGAAAACGCCACTATTTTCGGAATGTTTCAAACACATAAATATCTGTTTCAAGTGGGCCATTTATTCTCGCAAAAAGGTACCCTTGAATTACATAAATATTTTCTCTCTTGGGAGAAACATTCAGAGTTTGTCCTTCCTTAAGTTGGGAAAGGATTTAAGGCTCTCAAATGCAGTCTGGCGCAAAGTAGAGGATAATGCTTTTAGGGAAGTATTGATTTTGAAAAAAAAATTTTTCGATACAAAGCATTTAATTTTAAAAAAGAAGAGAAGGATTGCTGCTCCTCGTGATGTTGATGTAATTCAAGTCTCGTGTTTTTTTTGTTGCGTTATTTTTGTTGGAAGAAAATAATTAGTTGGATTTTGTCCCGAGCACTGAAATAGAGCCGACGTAATAATTTTTATTCTCTTCGTCGGCTTTATAAATTCGATGTTATGATGGTAATAATAAAGAAGAGCGAATGAAAGAAATCCCTCGAGGGCTCAATTAGTGAATGGGGAAGATCGACGATGTCGCTTTTAATAACTTCAACCCTAAAACCTGTAATTTTTTTAACACAACTCGATGTAATAAAAAAATGTGATATCTTTTCTATCATGTACATGTTTGAGCGAAGCCATTCTAAGTCAGCGAGTACTAAATTATCTGTGTGAAGCGATATTAAAGCACAAAATTTTTCAAAGCTTTTAGCGACAAAATTTCCAATAAACCCTCGACTAATAAAAGGAATTTCATTCCGAAAACTGTAACCTCTGAAAGTAAAAAATACAAATATTGGAAAAATTTCCGGTATTAAACCGAACTAATTTTTCGCTTTCAATAGAAATATCTGAAGAATGCGTAAATGGAAGTTTAGTATTTCAGACACACATTTCTAAATCTGCAAAAACTTTGGTGAAATCTTTTTATCTAAACGAGATGTGAGAAATACTTTCAAAGTCGAGCTGAAGCAACAAGAAATGCGGTTTACGATGTGGAAAATATATTTATTTGATATTTGTCCCTTTTATAAGTATCACCAATTTCAATTAAATAATAAATTTCACCCATCCTGACATTTATAACCCAAAATGTATCGTTTGATGGCTTAATCATTCCAGTTTAATATAAACCGGATTAACCGCGTAAACTCATATCTCATGCGAGTTTGTTAAATTTAATTCGTTCACAAAACGGACATTTATCAATTCATCCAGCAACAAACATTCCATTTTAAATTTTTAATTTAAATTCCACGTCGACAACATGTCGATGAAATTCTTTCAGACACGCAAGATGGGCTGAAATAATCGATAGGTTTGAAATTTTTCAAAGCACTTAATCCTACTTTGCAGGACTATAAAAAAACAACAATTTATTTAAGGTTCATAAAACATCATTACTTTGATTATTTTATGATTAGAGAGAACTAGACTAAAAATAGAACAGAAAACAAGGAACAGTGTTTTTATTTTGAATCGAATTGTTTGTCTGTGTTGTGTTTTGATTAAACTATACATCATTTAGTGTGACTGGTGAAAAAAAATTGCAATTCTCAATGTTCACCAAACTCACCTAATTTAAACCATCATTGAATCACGATGAAATCAGTTTGAATTTACGAAAACGATTTTGAAAAGTGCGTTAGCACCCCTAGAAGACCGTCACCCGCGTACTGAACCAAAGCACAAGAGCTGTAAGCAACTTTATCTCCCTCTCGCTTCGTCACATACGTTTCGAGTTGTAAAAGCTCATGCGCTATAGCATCCAAACGACTATTTGAATAGTACACGATATGGCATAATCTCTATTTTAATTTCAAGAGACTTGCATTCACTGGAATATAAACTGGAGATTAAATGCCAGTTTTATTTTTGAAAATCAAGTACTGCTTGCCCGGCACCTCCACCATTTTTAAAACAACTAAAAATTAATACAAAAAACTTGTTTCTCTTGAAAATTAATACCATTTGTTATAATATTTGCGTAAACGTCAAAACAAATACAGACGTTATTAGAAATTTACGTTCAATAATACTGATCGTAGAATATTTATTTGTTTTATGTACAACCACAACAAAGAGTTGTGTTAGAAATTATTTATTGTTTTTATTTTATGGAACAATTTCCGATTTCTGACAATAGTTAAACGGATCAAAAGAAAATTAAACGCAAAATATCATTTTGACGAGAGTTTGTCTCAAAAGTTGAGAAGCAGTTGTGTTCTCGAAAATCAAATATTTGTTTAACAACTGTTCTCTTGAGTTCAGCCGCCGACAACTTAAACAATAGGTGGAGAGATAAATAGTAAGAGTGAATGATTATTTTTAGCTCGATCCAGAAATATTAATACACGAAACACAATTGACTCCGATAAAAATTTGCTTAAAAACTTAACACGTTTTGTGGTGTCAGACCGCGTTTGCAATGACGTCAACAAAACTTCCAATACACTTGTTGTCACAATGACTCAAGTCAAAGAGAATTATAACTAAACTCTAAGTAAAGTACTCATGACTTGAACGAAGAAATTATTTCAAATCATATGATTTTTCAATGAAATAATAACTAAGGCTCGGAATATATGCACGAAAAAATCGTAAAATATGCGCATATATATGCACATATTTTCACAAAAATATGCACAAAATATTAAGAAATATGCTCCAATATATGCCAAATATGCATTGATATGAAAAAGTCAAATGTATTTATTTTTTGAAAAAACTAATTGATGAATTATTTATAAAGTTCTGTAAAAATGTGATGTTTTATCAACAATAAAATTTTTCGATATTTTTGTTATTTTGTTTTTGAGTTTTACAAAAATATTATTTTTTTTTAAATGGCAACCCACCAAAAAAAACATTTTTTTCATGAAGGTTATGATATAAGGGATTACAACTATCTACTTTGTATTAAATTATTTATTTACATATATCACTATTTAGACAACAAAAATCAAATAACTCAAAAACAAAACAAAATTTTGTTCTTAAAATAAGTTCATTTTTTATATTACTCTAATTTATATTAATTATTATTTTTTGGAAACAAATGATTTAAAAAAAAACCGCTTGGTTCAATACAATTTTAAAAGGAAACACTCAACAGGGTAGGTACTAATTTTTTGAGTTTGGCTTACGAATTATCGGTTGTTTTCTCTTTAAAATATTTTGTAATCGGATTATTTTTCTTAAACTGTCCAATTTCTAACTTAAACTGAAATTTTTAATCGGAAATTAGTGATTTGAAGAAAATATGCACAAATATGCAATATTTCCTAAAATATGCACCAAGTTGCCAAAATATGCAAAATATGCATTTTTTAATTGACTTATTTTGGTCAAAAAATATTAGATATGCATAGAAAACTTACAATTTTGTTGATATACCTCTTAATAACAAATATGCATTTTGCATATAATCCGAGCCTTAATAATAACAGTTTTTCAGCACGGAGTAATTTCGTTTGCAGCTTGGTTTTTTTAGCAAAATAAAATTTTCCTACACTCGGAGTTAATTATGCGGGTTTATTATTGCTTTCATAACTCCCTAATTAGCTTTTTATAACGCAATAATATGCGTTTGCGTACATTTAGGACGAGTCTTTGTTAATTATTGATTCAAGTTAGAAATACACGAGTTAAGATAACGACACAAAGCTATTATTTGAGCAAAAGTTAATTACACATTACAATATCACAAAAAATGTGTTTCTTTTTGAAAAAGCTCAAATTGTTAGAAATTCTTTATTAAACCACTTGAGCCGATCAATTCCTAAATTGTTGTGTAAAGAAAAAGTTTCGATAATTATTAATGTAGCTCAATTTTTTTATTATTTACTTTTCAATTTATTTCAGCCAGTTATAACGGTTAATTAACCACAGAAATTGAATCGCAAATATAATCGACACTCCTGAACAATATCGATTACATCAAGGATGCAGTGGATACGAATCTAAATTAAACGCGAATGTTTCAAGGGAAATTTAAAATATTCACCTCGCTTCGCTAAAAATAATTGGAGAGGGTGTATTTTAATAACTAACACAATTAAGAGATTGTTATTATACAATCGAATAGACAACCAGAAATACATCAAATCTGCGTAATGAGCTAAACATTTAACAAGCTTTGAAATACAATTTAAATTGTCGTTTGAGTGATTATTTGAATAAAATTGAATGAAACAGCGCATGAAATTGGAATAAAATTTCGTTTTTGCTCATTTTTTTTATCCTAAAAGAGCCACTAAATGAAATTATCATTTTTTGTGAAGTGTATGAGGTAATTTAGATGCTGCTGTGGACGCATTTCATTCAGATTCATTACGTAACGTGTGGCAAAGTGGAAAATATCTCTAAAAGAGTTTCTTTTGAGCAATGTTTCTTCTAATCCTAAATAATTACTGTGGCACGAATTGGTTATATTGCGACCTTGCGGTCTTATTTGCTAGGAAATAATAAGAGATTACGATTTACCAAACAATTCGCGTAATTAGAACCCTCGACTATCTTCACTGTCACGAAATGACACGATTAATTTTCCAGAGTTGAGAACAGGGAAAAATGTAACTGAATTAGCTTATCGAGCTGACTTGTCATTTCTATTTAAAAAGTGCAAAAAATTAGGTCATTGTAGTACAATAAATAATTAGTTGAGAAAAATGTAGCAAAAAGAACAAACAAAAACATTTTTCTTCTGTGGAATGGTAAAGAAGAATGAAATTTTTTGAAAATTATACTTTTGTTTAACAACATTTCTAATTATGTAAATACTGGGAGGCTACTTTATCAGATCCAGCACCGGTGCCAACGTAATAAATCTTAACTTTTGCTTTACACAGCGATGCTTATCATGCAGTGTTGGCAGAAATGTCTCTGATTAATTTTCGTGGGGTTACCAACCCATTTTTAAGTAATTAAACAACTTTTTCGTTCTCACGGAACTACGCCAATTATGTAATAATTGATCAGCTTCTACTTGATGATCTTGTTAAATTCCCAAACACAATACAAGTCGTTTTGATACGCTGCAGGTTAGCTTCTTTTTATTCCATTGTACAACATTCCGAAACAATGATGAAAAAAGTGAGAAAACGAACTAAAAAAGTCTATATTTGTTCTACTTTATATTCGACGTAAAATCCGGATTTCGAATAAAAGATAGACAACCAGCAATTCAAACAGAAATTATAATTATAGTCCGCTCAAAATAAACATTTCAAATAACTAAAATTCCGACAGAGCTAAATTTTGGTGGAGACCTTGGGTACACCATTAGAAATAAAGTGTCAAAAGTCCCCATCGATCCCATGTGTGCTAAAAAAGTTATTTGGGGTCAAAGGTCAAAATTTGACGTTTTTTAAATTTTTTTCGAAAACGGCAAGTTTTGGCAAATAAGTAGCCCAGATAAAAATTATAGATCTTAAAATTATCTACAAAATGGTCTTTATACTTTTTTTCTAAGAATCACCATTCCTGAGATATCGCGATTCTAAAAGTTGAAGGAGTAACGTTCTACATCATATGAACATACAGAGTGCGCCAGAACTCGCGCCCCAAAGACAAATGCCATGTAGGGTAAGGTACCAGGAACATGTAAAAAATTAAAAAAAATTCTATCTATAGACATTTCAAAGTTATGACAGTTTAAATTTTGCACTTTGACTCTATTTATTTCTGTTGGAAAAATAATTTTCCAAGTTTTTTTGCTACAGGCTATTAGAAGCGGAAACAAAGAACTTGTATCCTAAACTGTAACTCTGTTTAATATTATTTGTGGCGTTTATTGGCAAAAGTTCTGTACCTTTACTAAATAATTGTAAGAAAACATACCAGGTGAATAAAAAGTATGTAACCAAACGTTTTTTGCTTAACCTTGATGAGTGATAAAGTACTATAAAAATGTGATGATTTAACAAGAATAAAATTTTTCGAAATTTCCTTTTGTTTTTGAGTTCTACAAAAAAAAAAATAATTTTTA